CGAACGAATGAAACACTGATAAAGAAATTCTTTGTAAATATATCTTAAAGATGTTGCACTTAGATTAGACGTGAAGCAAGAGTTTGTTTCTTTAGAAAGAAGAAATAACATTACGTGGGACATGTTGAATTCATAATCAATAAACCGCGCTATTGCTCAATCCAGTACTTTGCTGACTTCATGTGTGTTTGTGTTTATGTGTGTGTACTCCAACTGACTCCAACTCAACATTAACCATAATAATAATATATTTTCTATGTATTTCTTCAACATTTACAAGCCCTGTCCATTTTTTTATTTACAAAATAAGACTCTAGCTGTCTTGAAGAAGACTTATACATGTTAACTTTGGTAATAAATGTATGACGTGAGAAGTGGGGTCATCTTTTCATAGACTACAATAAAATATCACTTCTTGTTGCAACCAGTTTTCAAACCTGGAGGTTGCCACTGGTTTGGAACGGAGGAAAATGTGTTACCATTGCTGAGCACATTGGTAATCCAAAAGATATCCGTGTCATCACTATCTCTTCCACAGATTGATAGTTGGCGGCAATAACAGGGAAAACAGAGTGTTTGAACATCATCATTCTGTTAATGCTCACCCGATGTGATTGGTGCGAAGGGATATCTCCAGATCTTTCAGGACCTGTGTGGCTTCCTGAATCTTTTTCTTTAGCTAAAGTAGCAGAAGAGGTGAGAATTAAGACATCCTTTTTGTTCAGATAGAAAATTAAAGACTTGTTAAATATGAAAAGAAGGTGGTCGTTTACACTGACCCTGCGAGACACCCCTCCTTGATCCTGGTAGAAGCTCTTGATCTTATTCAGGTAATTGGACGGGGGGCTTTTCACTTGGAATCGTTCCTGAGGAAGACGTTTTAGAGTCAAAGTACCTTTTGATTCAATTTGATCAGCAACACTGAGATAACTGGACTGAGACAGCACATCTGAAGCTATTATTGCCTCCCCTTGTTAACACAACAGGCACCAAATGCTCACTGTTTCCATGCCGACGCCATCAGTTGTCACCACAGAAACTGTGCTGCAAGGTTTTCACACTGCACTCTGCTCTTTACCACATACCCAATTTGGGTTTTTATGTACGTTGTGTCAACTCTATCTCAGTGAAGAAGTTGCCTGACTCATGATTATTTTGCAACATATATGTTGGGTTTTATTGTGAAAGCAGCTCCTTATCTGTAAAAAAAATAAGTTCTTACCTGATCACAGACTAATTCCCACTTCTTGTCATTGTCATACTGACTCAACAGCTTTTGTTTGTCTGGAGGCAAGTTCATGTAGCTCTGAAAAAGACAGAAAGAGGCTCATTAATATATGCAATAATATGACTCTGGATGAAAAGAAACCTTTGAGCTTTGTTTTCTACAATTTAACACCTCCAGTGTAATTCAGCACCACATTTAAAAGTTGTAATCTTTTTATCTTTCTTGCTTAGGCAACAATATTCAAATTTCAAACCAACCAAACCACAGATGTACCTTCTAAAGGGTGTATACCTGCCGGAAATACAGATGACTCATGTTTGCATGCATGTGTTGATGGTTGTCAGTAGGCACCACGCACCAACGCTAACTCGTGTCAACTTCTAAGAACTGACATGTGGTGGTGTAATAATGATGTCAACTTTTAAATCACCATGCAACCTTTAGTAAAGATAAAGTTGTTGAAACAAGGCACATTATTACACACTTATTATTTTGTATATATTTGTTGTGTCTTTACTTTTTTACTGGCATTGTTTTAATAAGAGTATGGCAAAAATGTCTTAGGACTAACCAAGATTCATAATTCATGACATCATCTTTCTATAACCTGTATGGTATTCTACACGCATCAAGAACTCCCCACATCCAGAACCTTTTGGTGCCGGTTGACTCAACCAACAAAAGTGTTGACATTTTGCGCAAAAAGGGCAGTTTCACTTATCTCCCTCCACCTAATGTTAAATATTTGACAGATAGAAAAAGGTTATTTCCCCACTCAAATTGCTGTAAGAACTGAATTATTTAATGAACCCACATTAAGTATTATGGATTATTCAGAACCTAATTGGGGAGTTTTTGTGGAGAAGAAAATGTCATAAGTTATTAAAGTGCAAGATACTTGAAACATGTATTGGAGCAAGTAGGGTCTCAATCACTTTCTTTTAAATGAAAAGCCTTTAATTAAATACTTCTTCTTTCAACGAATTATCAGTTGATACTGGGTGTGTATCCTAAATATTCAAGCAGTGGTTTGGTGGTGAAATAAAGCTTCATCTTTGGTGGGGAAAGGGAGGGGTCCTGTTGTGGGTTTTTCTGGTACAACACTTAACAAATGAAATGATACTTGCATGAACTTACATGAACATAAAGTAATATACATTTCCCTAAGTTTGGAACATGTTTTATTTAGGCAAACAATCAATCCTGAATTCTTACAATAAAATAAGGTACAGCCTCTCTCTGAAGTTTGAATATGTGGTGGAGGAAGCGAGGTCATACTTTCATGTAACGCCAGTGAGGGCGTTGTAGGTACAAATGGCATAGGCCACCGTTTCCGAGAAAAACATGTCAAACGGATATTTTGAAATGGTTAACGTTAGAGCAAAGCCACACTTACATTTCATGTCCTCTTGTAGCATGACACTCAGAAGTTTTGTAAATATATGTGAACAAGTCAAGTGAATCTTAACATGAACAAAGTTGCATGTATAATGTGGTAGCCTACATAAGAACTATATATTTGACATTTAAAAAAATCATCAACACTTTTTTGATTATTTTATTTAAGGTATCAAATGTCATGGTTATATTAGGCTGGTTGTTGGCACTTTATATATACAATTGTCGAGGCCCAAGACACAATCTGAGATAAAGCATGAGGGGTGTCAAAATGTTCTTGACACCCCTTGACATTTTAGTGCTTTATCATCAAATACAATATTCTAGTTCATATGTGTTGATGTGTTATTCTTAATGGTTTTTCAAACAATTAAAGTATTCATCATCAGATTTGTGATTTCTCCCTTGTTGCAAGGATGTTGAAAGAGTGGTGGAACTATTGCTTTCCGGTCTTAGGGTCTAACTCATGTAAATAAGTTGCTCAACTTCCCCTTGGGGCCAGCCGCCTGAGCATGCACCCTGTCCCTGAACAGCTATTGATGATCTTTTTTGAAAACACACATTGGCAAATTGACATCTTCACTGGATCGCATTTAAAGCAGACATTTTGTAAAACGTAGCCATCTGGCCCTGAAAGAAAATGAGCCTCAGTGTTTGGATATTCTTAAAAATATCTAAGAAAATGGGAAATGTTGCCATCACTTACAGTCTGTATTTAGTTCAAATGGTTTTGGGCGGCATAAATCAGTCACAACCCACACGTTTTCAAACAGGGCAATTGCAAAGTTGTTTGTGACTCTGAATCATATACCTGCATCATTTTCATAGATCTAACATTTAGCCTCTATTACAAAACCCTAGCTGCTATTGTTAATACACCAAGTGCATATCTCTATTTTTGTGTGCAGTAAAGGTGTGTGCCTGTCCACTCACCAGCACCACATTGAAGCGCTCCTCCAGCTCCTCCTCTGGGGGCATGGGCAACTTGGGGGGAGCCGGCTGCTTCTTCTGCAAAGTTGGAGTGGGTTCTCCCATTCCTGAAGCTCCTCCGACTGAGGTTCTGGCCTCTCGGCCCTCAGTCTGTTCCTGCTCCAGGGCCCCCGTGGCCACATTCCCCATCACGAATCTCCACAAGTAATCCAGGAGGAAAGCTTAACATAAACAAACTTCTGAGAAATATGTGTACTTCAAAACAGAGTGACACAAACTGATCACTCTGATTGACAACAACAAGAAGGCCTAAAGAAACCAAGTATTTTGGCCTTTTGGAGTTGAACACCAAGCCTCACTAAATCCACATGAGTCCTGAGGGCAGGTTGGGTGATGAAAGAAGGTTTGTCTGTCCTCCCATCAACCTGTTCCTCTCTGTCTTCAAGTACCTTTGAGAATAAGGCACCACGCCTGCTGCTCTAGCAAAAGACCCACCTAGTTTCACTCACTTGTCTCTATATTTGTTGACCGAGAACTCCCCTGGAGAGTGACTAGAGAGGGCTGCGTGTGAGAGGAAGGAGAGTTGAATGTGACACACTCTGTAACACAGGCAGAAACCGCAGAAGCACAAAAGCAGAAGAGTAACTTCCTGTGCATGACAGCAACAGAAGCTGGGGTGGAGGACAAGGTGGAAAATAAACATGTTAACTGTTGTGCTTGTACTACTATAGTGGTAGGTGATAGTGAGTAAAATAATGTTGCACAGGAAGGAAAGCAGAAAGATTGTTGAAGTTTAAGGAGAAATGCTAACCCAGCAGGTGCAGAAGAAACAAAGCAAAATGAACCAACAGGCAAAAGAAACGTTCTCCCATGAATTAACTTTCACTGCACTGACATTCAATTCTTATCTTAAAGAGTGTTTAATTTGCATGGGTTTACATTTGTTTTAGTCACTTTAATTCATGTTAGGCCAGGTTGATGTGGAAGTCAGGTAAGAGTAGATTTCCCTTAGCGACAAGGTAGGAGGAAAGATTGTACAACAACGCCACTCAGCGTTTGAAGCCAACTTCTGCATGTATAATTGCTGCCTTCGCGGTCTCCTCGGAAATCGCTAACAATGTTAATCGACATCAGAGTTATAACCTACCTAGCTAAATATAAGTCAATATGTGCAAATAAATGCACAGGACATGGACCCTGTAACGAAATAACGGTTTACTAGTTAATACTATTACAAACAGTAACATTTCATGATGAAGCCTACCTGTTCTTGAAAAGCGTTAAATAATATTAAAGTTAGTCGCGGACAATTTTTTTAATTCAAGGAGCAAACCTCTTTTACTATCTGACATCGTTTGGTCTGTGTGGAGTTCTTTTTTAAATTTGATATTTGCAAGAACTATACACTTTTCGGCAACTTTGGTAGGAAATACGAGAAGCACTCGAAGGCAGCAGCAGAGCTTATTTTACATTTCAAAATGACGGACCCAACAACGTCGCCCGAGGATCACTGGAAAGTAAGTAATGTTAGGTGACAACAACTTTGTGTTAGTTCTTACGTCTGATGTGTGACGGAACTGATATGTGGATACATGTCATATCTATAAGTTGAAGTTTTGCTAACACGAAGAAGGAGCAGGGCTTTGTTAGCTAAAAAAGCTAACGCTAGCTAGGTGACAGTTTGCAAACGTCACAGAGCTATTAGCTGTTAGCTCGTTAAGTAAACAAATCGTCCTGAAAGGGGAAACTAGTGTTCCACGTATCTGCACCCACATTAAATAACATTTGTGTTTTAACATTGCATTGTTTCTAACGTCCATGTGAAAGCGAAGTGCATATTCATTAAAAGTCAAATGTGGTGCAGCACCTTAAATTGTCTCAGAAATGCATTGTTTTTGTAGCCCCACCACAATAGTGTGAACCGTGTGAAACAAGAACAATGTATATGTCCTCAGGATATGACTTGGATCCCTTTCCCTTGTCAGAAGCAATGGCAAACGCTTTTTACCAGGCGTTGTGACGTGATAGTCAATGTAATAATCTAGCTCTTTTTATTGAAATAAAGCTATATCGAAATATTTTGGTAAAGATGTTGAGCTACCCATGTGAAAGCTTTTCAAAGAGCTTGGGTTTTATTCGGGGAACCTATAAATATGATAATGTTAGAGGTAGAGGGAGATAAACCTTTGGTCAGAGTAGTTATGGTCTAATAAACATGTAGCAAGACCTAGGGTTGAAATGGACTATGTTTACAACTGCGGTAGGTTAGTTTTAAGGTTTGATATTCGACATTTACTCTGGATCCAGCGGTGTCTTTTAACTAAATAATACCAGTTTCTTATGTGGTACATCTTTTTCATTGACTGATGTGTTGTGAATGTGATGTTGTGCAATGCCTTGTTATTATTTTATTTTTGTATGCTGTTGTAACAAAAACATTTTCCCAATTTGGGGTTAGTAAAGTATATCTTATCTCCTCTTAAATAAGACACGTTTCTTTTTTATTAGATTTAAGTTTTTGTTTTAGGCTATATGAATACTTTAATAACATTTGGCAGTTGTTTGCTCAATTTTTATTTATTTATTTTGCCTTTAGTGTTTTTTACATTTTCAACAAAAAATGTTTTTTTCAATTGAGAAATCTGATTACAAAACTCGAGTGAATGTATTGTTCATCAAACCTAAAAATAATAATAATAATATACGTTATTTATATAGCACCTTTCGTGCAAGGGCTTTACAGATACAGAGGCTGATCACCTCACTGCAGTACTTTTTCAGAGTTTACCTTCTGGAATTATTGGATAAAAACCTTTATATATACAGTCTATGATAAAAACTCAACTTGAATGGGGGAACCAAACACTACAGCTACTTGTGTGTTTTGGTGCCCTACATTAAAAAGTGGATCTGTGATTGAAGTAGTGATTGGCTGCACCTCTGTATCCTCCTGCATGTTGTGATTTGGTATCATTTTTGTAATTAGGGCAATGCTCAGCGGGGGTTTAGACTGTCTATCGCGCAGGCTAGGTATTCGACTATTGTCAGTGTTTTTTAGGGCATCACGATGTTTGCCCTTTTTTGTTTCCAAAATCTCATCTAATTTATATTTGTTCCATCTCCTGTTGTGATGACTCTGCAGACAGACGGAGCTTTCAGTGACAGTGGCTTTGACCCTAGTGAGTATTCAGTCAGTTCACATCCTCTTGTCTGTCATATCCTCTGATATTTCTTGGCCATGTGATAGTGACCTTGTCTTTCTGTCAATCTTTTTCTTGCCTCACTGTGAAACATCTTTTATGTCATCTGTCCTGCTCTATAGGTTTCTTTGCTGAAACGGGCAGAAAGGGTTCTATTGTGTCCAGAGCCAACAGCATCGGCTCGACAAGCGCCTCTTCAGTACCCAATACAGGTATACTGTTTGTAACACTGTGAAACTCACATTGTTGAACGTTTTAAAGGGAGAATATGTACTGCAATTAGCACACGTAGAACCATTCTAGATATATTAGGCCATAACATTGTCATAGTGAAGTACGCAATAAAGATGTCAAGATATAGTGTCATAAAAAAAACTTTCAAAAGGTCTCTTAATAAGATATCAAAGGACAGTTCTTGTTTTAATAACGGGCGTTACAAACAGGGTTTTATGGGTTGCATCTGTCAAATAATGACTAGCCTGGCCAGTTTAAGTGCATTTTATTCATAGATTGAACTTTATTGAAGCATACATGATTAGCTTCTCTGAATTCTGCTTGGATGAAAAATAATGGTTCAATGTGTACTTATTTCTGTAATGAAAGAAAACAACTAAAGCTCCAGGATATTCATTTTAAAGTGGACCTATCATGCTATAGTTGAATAATATAGTATAGGGCCATACCTATATAAGGCATATTTATACTTTTTTTTTTCAAAATACCAAACAGATCATGCATTTTAGCCATGCCTCATTTTGCTCAATTTGACATTTTTTAGCTCTGTTTTTGCAAGGGCAGATTCAGTGAGAACAGCACCACCTACAGGCCTGGCATATGTACTACAGCGTCTCCAGCGCTTTCGAACGGCAATGCCGTGGTTGTCTCCTCCTGATTGGTGGAGAGTTGGCCCAATAGCCGTAGCGCCACTGTCCTAACGTCAGGACAGTGTTCAAATCTGGATCAGTTTTTATCAGATCCGTTGCAGCCCCTTTTTTAGAGATTTGGGTATGGAGGAAAATAGAGAGGGTTGTGTTTTCTGACACTTGGTGAGTTCCCTGGAACACCGGGGACACATATTCATGTATAAAAGACGTACAAAAGTGCATTTTGCATGATAGGTCCCCTTTAAGTAAATATATAAATTCATCTTTAAATCCCATAAAATCTTGCTATGGCTTTAGACCAAATAAATATGCTTTATCCTCATTATTTGTCCACCAATAATATCAACCTTGTGCATTAGTCAGCGGTCTGATGCGGTTTCTAAATCTGAGTGTTGATGTATTCTTGAATAGATGATGAAGACAGTGATAACAAACATGAGACGTCGTATAAGGACTCGTATAAAGATCGGCGGAGACAAGCGCACACACAGGCTGAGCAGAAACGCAGGGATGCTATCAAGGTAAGTCTCACCTCACAATCCTCGGAAAAGCTTTACAGTTATATATTTTAATTTGATCAGTACTTTATCTTTTTTTTAGAAAGGCTACGATGACCTCCAGTCCATAGTACCAACCTGCCTGCAGCAGTCTGACTTTGCAGTGGGAGCGCAAAAGATCAGCAAGGCCACCGTGCTACAGAAAAGTAAGATGTAGCTCATCCTTGAGAATATTGTTTGTGTTTGGAATAGTAGTTAATTAGAGCAAGATGATATATAGGACAACATGGGTGAAGGTCAGTGATGGGATGGGGTAAGGGAGTTTTCTGTTCAAACTTCAGCAGGAGTATTATAAAGTTGTTTTCCAGTCAAGCCACTGTTTTTCTTCTCCCTTCAGTCATGTGATACAAACATGCCTGAGCTTGTTGCCCAGGATTACAGTTCCAGTCTTACATGCTCACATTACACCAAGAAACAAATAAGACAACAATTGAAGAGAACAAAGCAGTTACAGACATATATAATTACAAAAAGAAAGAAACATATATCAATAGAAATATTGAAACAAAAGTGTCACGCAACAGAGATGTCGGCAATTGTTCAAATGTCTTCATTAAAAAAGTGAAAAAGAGGAAGTAGCTGCATTTGGTATATGGGAATAACACCTCTTGGCAAATGGACAATTAAAATCTGTGTTGAGTGAAGAAATCCCTGACGGAAACATCTCTGTATTTCTTTGCAGCAATCGACTACATCCATTTCCTTCATAAAGAAAAGAAGAAGCAAGAGGAGGAAGTAACTGTGCTAAGGAAAGAAGTGATGGCGCTGAAAATCATGAAAACGTGAGATTCATAAACATTCTATCATTCTATTTACTTGTATATAGACTTCTTGCACTATTTTTTATTTTTGTATTTTATTATATAACTATGTTGCATTGTTGGAGGAGCTCGGGTCATAACATTTTCATTGCCATTTCTACACTGGAGCTTACAGTATGTGCATATGACAGTCAAACCTTTGAGTTTGAATTGAAACAACCTAAGTGATGTTTTTTCCCAAGATGTATTCTACAGTCAGGATTGCTGGCAAACTAAGACCTCCCTACTTGTTCTGCTCAGGCAAATAAATTAAATATATATATATATACAAATAATTGTGTTAATCTTTGAGATTACATGAGAGAAAATCTTGAGATAAAAATGCTTTAATTGTAGCAATGAAACAACATATAGTGAAAAGTTAAATTTAAAAAAACCCGCAATAGGATATCCTAGAATTCTTGGTGTTGATTGTACTGTGACACTTGCTCAAACCAATTAGGGAATCAGTTGTTGCTATTAATTGAATCGCATATCTTGAGATGCAGTGATTTTCTTTTTAAATAGCAACTATGAGCACATCGTGAAGGCCCACCAGAACCACCCTGCGCAGGGAGAGGATCAGGTGTCGGACCAGGTCAAGTTCAACATCTTTCAGAGCATCATGGACTCCCTGTTCCTGTCGTTCAGCAACTCTGTTTCAGTGAGCAGCTTCAAAGAGCTCTCTGCCTGCGTCTTCAGCTGGATCGAGGAGCACTGCGAGCCACAGGTATGGAAGACTTTAGACGCTTTTGGACAGCAGATCAGACTCGATCAAAGTTGCTTTTTGTTGATGATTAGATGAGTCACAGGTTGTGTGCTTCTTCCGTTCTCTCTTAGACGCTGAGGGAGTTTGTCGTGGGAGTGCTCCGGCAGCTCAATGGACAGCTTTATTGACTCAACTCTCAGACAAACTGACTTTAGGCTTGCTCTGGCCTCTCGGCATGGGGTCAAAACTTCAATCAGCCTCAGGCCACACCACAGTATTTACGCTCACTTCGGCTCACCAGTAACTCCCTGGCTGCAATTGGATTACCTCAACCTCACACTATGGGCCGAGACGAGACGTCGGGTTGGATTGAGCGGTCACATGTTTTAAGACAAATCCCCCCCTCATTGTATTGTACATACATACCGTTGTGTATATTTCAGCCTCTGCTGATTGTTCTGCTTTGAAATGCAAGGGGGAACACAAACTTCATTTGAAAAACTGTTTTCAAATGAATGTATACAGTGGAGGAAATAAGTATTTGATCCCTTGCAGATGTTGTAAGTTCACCCACTTACAAAGAAATGAACAGTCTATCATTTTAATGGTAGGTTTATTTGACAAATGAGACAGAATATAAAAAAATAATTCCAGAAATTGACATTATATAAAAGATAATTGATTTGCATTTAACTGTGGGAAATAAGTATTTGATCCCCTTGCAACAAACAATAATTCTGGAGAGGATCTTCAGAGAGGAGTGGACCACAATCCTTCCTGTGATGTGCACAAACCTGGAGACCAACTACAAGAAGTGTCTGACCAGACCGTAGAGTGTAGACTGTAGAGTGCATCTAGTTGTTTGAATTTACCGCAGTTGCACTTGCAAATCAAAACCAAGACTCCTCTCCCAGATTGATAATAGTAATTTGTCTGCGATCTATCAACCTAGCTAATAGAAATAGAGAGAAGACTAAAGGAAAAAAAACCTCATTAGCCAAGTCCTGGTGCTAATGGCTGCTCTCAGCTTCAGTGCACCCATGAGTCAGCCATACCTCTCTGTAGCACAACATGCTAATGCTATACTACTGGAGGGTTTCTCCTAACTGCAAACGGGAATACACCATTACATTTGAAAAACTTGTTCTTTTATGTGCAGTGTTCATTAATGTATCTGTCACAAGATGACATGTATGCTTAAATCTCATGGAGTTGTGCAATGTAGGCAGCATAAACAATTTTAGAAAATTATTTATAAAATGTGAACTTCAACGCACATTGGGAGGAGATCCTGTTTAAAATAGTTAGTCAATGTTTATGAACGTTTTTCAGGAGATGTTCAATAAAAAGTGTCGATTCTCTGCAATCTTCTGTGGTCTACAATAAGCAGTTTTAAAATTAAGTTGTGTAAAATGTAATCCTTGAGATTTCAATTTCAAGTCACTGTTGTTGCTTTAATCACAGGGACATTTCTTTTTTTGACTGTCTTGTTGCCTTGTTATTTGTTGTGTTATAAATGTAATCTACTGTAAATACACATTGAAAGTGAAATCCACAAGTCAAAACACATTCAATGATTGTCCTGTTTAAGTATAATGGAAATGAAGTGCAGCTGAAAAGGACAGATCATACAAATGGCATCCAGCTAAAAAAAAACCTGTTAAATATTTGAATATAGTCGAGTAAGAACTTGAGAATATCTGTTGGCACTTCATTGACAAGTACTATCATGAACATGTAATAACTTGGAAGCATTACATAGTCCAGAAACTACCAAAACAAGAGGGAAAAACATGACAACCTGCCATAATCTCTTAAGGTCTTTTATTTACAGTTTTCCAAAAATAGGGAACAATATGGATTTTAACACATGAAAAATAACATACAGCTCTCAAAGCTTATAACTAATTCATTGTCATTTTCCTCGGAACTCAGGATTGGTTTCATGGCTTTTATTTAAAAAGGGTCAAATAAACCAACTATAAGGTGACAAGCATGTGTAAATCTAGAAATTCCACATTTGAGTCTTGCAAACGGAAGCTTTTGTGTAAATATGCTTATATATAAACAATGCACTGTGGCCCGTACTGCTCTGAGGTGTGAGCTATATTCTTAGCTAAGTGTGGCTAAGCCGACATGAAGGAACAAGCATTTTTTTTTAGATATTTCAAATACTTGGAACGACCACCTTACAGTCCTCATCAGTCTCAACTCCAACTTCCTCCTGTGAAGGAAACAACCATAATGACTGATTTAAAAAAAATACTGGCACGAAGGCAAAACAAACATACTGTAGACGGTGGCATAAAGTTCAGTTTCAGAGAGTTGATCCTAACAGCTTGTTTCACTCACCAGGAACTGCTTTTTGCTCTTAGGATACCCTTCCAGGATTGAATCCATCATGTCTGAAGCCTGAGAGAAACACAGCACAGCTAAGTTTAGGAATTGAGTTACAACAGCTCGTGTTCTTGTGTTGCAAGTCTACAAATGATTTTTTATTGCATCTATTCTAAATAAATAATGTATTATTATTTTCATCAAATATTTATCATCCGTTATATTAGTCATTTAGTTTATGATATATTCTTTGTTTTAAAGTAAAGACAATAATATAAAAAAATAATAGTGATTTCTTCAGTTTGCTTGTTTTGTCCAATTAAAAATACTTTTAAGATATTTAATTTACTATCATATATTAAAAGAAGAAACACAGATTGACATACAGTATCTGAGAAGCTGATGCTTAAAAAATGTCAACCAATCAATCAGCTCTTTGGACATTACCAGTCTCTTCCTCTTCTTCCACTCTTTCACGTAAACATTCCGGTCTGTGTAAACCTGTAAATAAAACATGAGCATTTTACCACCATACAGCAAAAATCAATTAAAGTATATTGAGTATGTTTCTGAGATGTTTACCTTCTCTTTCTCTTCGGGTGTGACGTGATTTGTGGCCGACTTTATTTTCTCCACGCGCGCTCTGTACCCCGAACACTCTGCTTTCAGCTCCTTGATCTCTGACATCACTTCCTCTGTTGTCAGGGCGCTGTTGAGCTCCTTCAGCTCTGTGAGCCAAGATTTAAAACAATGTAAAACATTCCCTTTTATAATGCATTCAAACAAAAACACGGTACCTTAAGCATGGAGAGGTGTCATTTATACCATTTACAGTAATGGGGCGAAGCCTGCGAGCTAGTTCAGGCAGTCAACTTGAGCACTTGTGCTGCATTCATACATAACGGCCCTTGCCACTCTACAACCAACCAAACAGAGTCTCCGCAATATGCCGCTCTATTTAACCTGCCAGATATCTCTCCATGCATTCCTTGCTGCTGCTATTGCTGCAGCTACCTCCACGTCGCTGCTGCTTGCCTGCCCCACCACCACCCCAGCTTCCACCTGTAGGCTTGGGGGGGTTAGTTATTTAATCATCACTCATCGTGCTATGTATATCTGTGGAGTGATGAGGCCCGAGCCTACACGCCAAACTCAACTATATGCTGCTTCTAATAAACATGTTAAAGAAACACGCGAGTTGTCTGACTGAACTATACTTGTGTCGCAATTTCGCAAACAAAACAAAAATGCACTAACTTCAGAACTATGTAGTTTCTGAAAGTCTGGAGACACCAACTTGTATGTAATAAAAATAGTAAAACTAAAGTCCTACTATAGAATGTTTTTTATCTAAAAAGTAAAAGTATAGTGTGTCATACAAATGTCAGAGTATAGTAAATCATAGAAATGTCAGAAAACTCATAGTATATTCTATTAATCGAAATGGAACTTCAAAGAATTCTATAAAGAGGTTGCAAAAAAGTACGTATGTCAAAAATTAAGAAACAAATATTACAAAAAGTCAGAAATGTTTTGTATGGTGTGTAAAAATTATAATAAAAGTTTTAGAATTGCATGTTATAAGAAGTCATACAAAATTCATAGTATGGCTGTCTCAAAAGAATAGTATGACTGGTATAGGATGAGGATAAGCAGTTTACTACACCTGCGTCCAGCTGTCTGCAGCTCTGGGTGATGGACTGCACGTCTGCGCTGAGCTGTGAAATCTGAGCGTCCATCGCCTTCAGTTCTACATCATCCACATCTTTAAACTGAGACTGTAGGGAAGGTACGCAGCAGAAGATTAATCTAAACAGCAGTTTTGGCCTTTTACTGCCTCCTTTCCATGACAAAACTATATTCAGATGAAAGGACTCACCTGATCAGCGAAATAAATCTTTTGCTTGTTGTATGATTTCTCCTTTATCTTGCCCTCTAGAGCCAGCAGATCCATAGCTTTGACCACTGCCTGGTGAATCACAAATAAACAATCATTAAATGTAAACTACACGCATTTGTAAAAACATTTATGTGGCAAGTATTTAACTCACTGTTTTTCCCAATCCATGCTGCTTCTGTAAATTACAAAATACATCCTGAGAACTGTATGGTCGGTTCTTCTCATTCAGATATGCAAGGATGACTGACGTGCCTGTGGATGACAGCTCAGTGTGATCATATGGAAGGACACAAACATTTCAACATTATTTGTAACATTATGCATCAACATTAATCACTCAGTGCCTGTAATGTGTTGTTCATTTATACTTGTAATACCCCTCTGCCTTAACTTATAAAGAGTGAGGCCAAACTATTATAAACACATCTCAATACAATGTAGTTCATTATAACAAAAATGCAAAAATACAACCCCAATAATGTAATTATTATTCAAATTACACATGTCTGACAATGTAAATAAAACTGGACTTTATAAACTTCGTCAAGTAAGTATTTATGGAAGAGGTGTTGAATTGCAGGTGTAACTTCTAAAACTCAGCGTACAAACAATTATACTCTACAAACCTCAAACATAGCCAGAAATGACAACTACATTTGTTTGTTCTTTAATGGTTTTTTAAATGCCGCCCTTGACGCACTTTAATGGATGCGTTAGGTTAGCCCTTATTATCGTAGTTTATGTGTAATGTTAGGTCTTAACAAGCTTAAGACAATTAAGGTGTATGTTATTTAACATTATAGAAATACGCCCCATATACGATTCTTTGAAATAAATGTATTTTGTTGTAAAAGTGGGCGTATTTGGAGTGAGCTCTAATATATTATGTATTGTTTAAGAGCTAGCTTATAAGCTAACGTAAGGTGATAGCTTCTGAGCTCAAAACTGTATTTCAGTGAAACTATACGACCGCGTTCCTCCATCCGAGGGTCAGATACGCCACCTAACACGTTACAGCTAAACACATCATGACATAAAGCTAAGTCTTACCGTTATCCTTCTTACTCATTTTCAACTTCTTCAAAGACGCTATTTGTTTTTAGCTTCCAAAACTGAGTTTCGCGCGAAACATGCGTCACGGAACAGATCGTCTATGCTTTAAGATGTATCACACTAACATATCTCTCCTGCTCTGCGAGAGTAGTGCGGACAAGCTTTGAGTTTATATTTGCGTTGATTTGATCTTCAACACATGTTATGTTTGAATTTTCTCTCAACAGCGTTCTTTTCAAAGTGATTTAATTAATCTGCCGCAAATAAATTACTGGTAATTATTAAACTTTCGCGCTGCAAAAAAAAGAATACTTCGCTTTCCGCCAGAAAAATCAGAGTGAGAGCTCAGTAGTTTTGACTACTTTTAGAGCCAATTTATCTAGGCAGTGTTTTCATGTGGGCAAATGTGTAGGAATAAAAATAAAAATCTACCTCATTGATGTTGGTAGAAAAACATATTTGTGACATATTAATAGTAAATGGTTTCCAAACAGGGGGTTTGTTGATTGTTGTCTTAAATAACAAACTTTAGAACTGTCTCAAGAGCTTTATCTGTATGTCATCTGAGATCACTGTACACCTTGTCATGTAATAATACCAAAGAAAGCCTTAATTGCAAACATTTTATTCAATACGATTCTCACATCAAAACATATCAAAACCAGTTACAGAGAAGAACATATACTGCTATGCACGTTACATTATCAAACTGAGGAACAGACTCTTCATGGAGCAGCGATGAGCAACATTCTGTTTAACTTCTCCTCCTCCTTCTTCTTCTTTCACCCTAAAATCCAAGCAAGTATCTATCAGTGCACAATTTTTTTACTTCACCTCCATAAATGTGGATCCAGCAGTTTTATATGCCAACTTGTCATCTGCAGCTATGATTTCCCTCTCAAAATAACGCATTTAAAGAAATGTTTTCAGCCATTAAAATCCCAGCAATTTTACACTTTTTGATACATGCATTTAAATACAATTCAACTGTGGCTCATTTAAGTTTTAAGTGCCATTTCCGCAGTAAAGTGATATGATTTGTCTATCAAAAAGAAAATCAGGCTGACCAGCACACAAAGCCACGTTAAACCTTTACATTCTAACCCTCTAACAGAAGGATACATTTCTATTATCAATTTTGATGTAAACATGTTTCCTATTAAAATAGTAAAATAACCATGAATTGAATAATACTTGATTTTTTCTCCAAAGAAATGCAGCATGACTACATGAAATTCAAGGATGATAAAATATAGGACATTTGTTTAATATTACTTTAAAAAAGAAAAAAAACACACAAAGGTATTAAACATGGACATCATATATTATGGAGCTGTATTCAAGGGCAGGAAAACAGCAAAAGGATTCTGAACTTGCACAGAAAAATAAACAGACCTCCCCCTGGGAAAAACTCTTTAAATAAAATAAACAACAAACCTAAGATCAAGAGTTCCTCCAGGACAGATATCTTAAGACTGTAAGGGGTGATTTTTTTTTAATTAAATAAGCTAACAAAAATACATTGAGATGCCTTCATATGTTAGACAGCAGGAAAGAAAATCATAAAAGGAGAACTTAAAACTTTTATCCTAATATTAATTATCATGGAAGAGGATAGCCGTCTAAATCCACAACAACTGAAAAGTGTTTAAAAACGGTTAATTAAAATCTGTAAACCTGAAATATTGTAAAAGAGCATGGCCAAATAACCTTTAAGGACAGCAGAGCACTAATATCAACAGCAACATGAACTGCTGCTCCTTTGTAACATTTGATGAAAGCCAATGAGGGGTTAATTTATCTTTCACAAATGACAAAACAACTTGAACATGTATTGCTGTACAATAATGTCATTATCATAGTAACATGGATCAGCCTAACCAACAGGAATGTCATGTTTGGTCCCATGTTGAATAGCCCTGTAAGATTGTATGGGCACTGTTGTTCTGTATTTACAGACATTATAGACAAGGTACCGCTAATCACAATTCTGCAACAAGCCTCAATAATGCTGGTTTGTTTAATGTTCGAATGGGGTTTAGGTTTGTTGTTGCATTTGATATTGCTCAGCCTACAAATAAAATATTTTCTGGATGATCAGGGTTTAAAAGTACGGGAGAACAGAGTTTGAGAAGATACAAATAAGAATCAGGTTATTCACAGTGATAACTGATGCTAATCAGAAGCAGGGCTGCTGGAACCTTACATCCTCTCTCACAGCTCCTCAACATGAAAACTGCTCATGAAGTTGCACTTGACATAAAGACACACACTCGCACACACACACACACACACTCATAAACACACACACACTTTACTGTGGTTTACCCAGAAAGTTAGACAAGAAGTTAGACCCCTGGCTCTCCCCCCGTTTACTACCCCCTCCTCCTGCGAGTGGGTCCATCTGGTTCAGTTCAGACTGATCCAGCATTTCAAAGTCCTCTCCATCCAAGTCTGTGTCGAGCTCAGAGCTAGACTGCTTACGGTAGCTCCGGCGGGCTCCAGTCCGTGGAGGGCCTTCTCTGCGGCGGGGGGCAGGGGGCCGAGGTTGCAGCGCCCCGGCCAGAGCTGCCTGGATCATGTTGCTGGCGATGACTCCGGCCAATTCCCCGGCTAAGTCCCCGGCGAAATCAGAGGCAGGTGGCAGGCCGCTGAGAGAAAGCTCTTCATCCAGATCCTCCTGATCAGAGTCCAGATGGGCGTCCATCACTGAGGCGCGGTAACTAGCCAGCCCAGACATGGCCAGGCTGGGCAGACCGATGCTCGTGTCCTCGTCGTCGTCCATCAGAGTGGCGTCAGGGTTTATGGAGGGGAAGTCTGGGAGGTCCTGAGCAAAGGACTCCTCAGCATCACTGTGCCTGTCAAAATCTGACCAGAACAGACAGGGACACGGTGAGGGACAAGAACAACCCAACACAAAGAAAGGAAGAGGAGAATCTGCAGTACTTACCCTCAGAGCCCTCTGTGAGTGGGGTCTGCCCACGGGATAGGTTAAAGGTCCCATTATCAGTGTAGGACACCTCAGCATCGGAGTGCTCAGAATCAGTCATCGCCAGTTCTTTTGCAACAATAGCATCATCAAACTACGAGACAAAACAGAATAAAAAGGTTGAACATTTGTTGTAAATATATGCTAAATGTTTTAATTAACTCTTAGGTTGTGCTATAAAAAGTGTTATTATCTCTCATCTCTTGCAGGTGTTACCACACAATGACACATGACAGACATAGCACATGATGTGAACTGTCTAACCAAAGCAAGAAGTGGCTCATGTGCTGAGGTACAAAGCTATTTTTATAATTAGAACAAGCATACTTTACAGAAGACAGACTGCGTGGGAACACTTCTACATTATGCCGTTTCAGTTATTAGAGACTATGTTGTCTCTTGCCTTCTCTAACAAAGCATGACAATATTTAGTGTAAGTTGTGAGAGAGACAAATCTTATTTACAAGTTGAAGAGCTAATAAGGAACCCACAAAATACATTAAAAAAAAGAAATGTAAAAAAAGTATAAATTACTTTCCCAGGTTTATTTTACAAAAATCTTCAGATTTGTCAGTCATTTAAATATTTAGAGACTTTTCAAACAGACTTACCGTTGGGCAGAAAGCAGCCAACTCCTCCTCGCTGTCACTGTCTTCCCCTGAGGGGCCACGGAGAGTTCTCCGCAGGACTGCACAGACAAATGGAAACACAAAGGCAACATTTTAACATTGACAGTCACTAACAGTGCATGTGATCTGTGAATTAAGTGCAAACAACATCACTTGGTTTGGTAGCACCAGAGGCCAGTCACACATTATTAATATGTACAAGTCATTTCAGCAACAAGAACCTCATAGAAATGATATTCAAACAAACTATGACCCCCAGAAGAACAGTACTGTTATTTGTGAAATCAATGTGGGAGATGTCATCATGTGATATCTATTTGTTTATTTTCAACTTGGGCCTTGAAGGTTTTAAGTATAAAAAGTAGCAGACATTCAATAAAAGGTGTTTTACTACTTACACTGATTATCAATAGGCTTGGACATCATGAACCCACAAACACTGAAGTCCAGTCGCTGCAGGACCGGATCCAGCTTCACACACACATGCTGAAAAATCCTGTAATAGGCTCCCAGAGGAGCGAGGAGAGAAGCCCATACTGCAGGAGAGGAAGAGAAAACTAGTCATTATAGAGAAGGAGGGAATAGTTTGATAATAAAGACATCATAAATAGGTAATGCCACGTAATTGCTTGGTAATAACAATGGGTATATGTGGGTAACATCAGACCGAAATGTATTTAACAGAGTCGAATGGGGCCAGAAACAACCAGTAACAATGTGGAAACTTGTATATTTAACAAGGCAAAACTCTTACATAATACTAATGTAATAATGGTATGGTAACCTTCTTTAAAAAATATATATCACGGCAATAATTGGATAAAACACGATGTTAATATGATTACATTAATGGGGTTATAACCTGATGATAATAAGGTAATATACGTTTTTCACAATATTTTAAGCCACTATCAGAGAATATTATCAAAATGACATGAAAGTCTTTGAAGTCAAATTGCTAATAACCATATTATAATGTTGAAATTGATCCCCACTTATGTTCCGAATTAAATTATGTTTAATGCTGTGACTCGTTACCCCCAAAAAAACACTTAGGGGTTTCTGTGTAATAACCATAAATTAGCCGGGCTGCAAAATACCCAACTACATGCATCTTTTTTTAAATGTTAAGATAATATTAGATCCACACAAACATACAGAGGCATGACTCAATATGTTATTACCAAACTGTAATGTGAACTTCTACCGGGAATTACTTTTGGGCTGCGTTAGCTTCAGTGGATACTTGGCCGCCCTCCCAGAGTCTGCAGCCTACATTGGGTGGAGGTTGGGAGATTAGCCCAGTCTCAGGCTGACCTCCTTAGCTTTCTGTTAGGCTCCCTTTCCCTCCCTCCCTCACTACTTCCTTCCTTCCTCGTGTGCCTCATCCTGGATTTAATCACCTCACAGGATAGGCTGTGTAACCGGGACCCAACTGATCAGGTTTCACCCCCCATGTATTTTTAATAGGAC